CCCTCCTTGGATGCTATGTATTCATTATCGCTCGCATGCAGGGGCGTACACTCCTAATGATTAGCAGTTGTTTGGTTACGCCCTGGCAACGGCAATTGCGACTTGGCAGAAGCACCTTGAAGCGCACCGACTTGTTTATCAAATTCGCATTAGCATCGCTTAGAGTTGTTACTGTTGAATTATTCGTTGCTCATAATCAGCGCGATAACGAGGATGAATGAAAGCTCCGAGAGAAATTCGAGGGATATTTAAAAATATTTAAAAATAATTAATGCTAATAATTAAAGATATTTAAAAATAATTAATGTTAATAATAATAATTGCTAATATTAATAATTCAATGCTTCTGAAGTGTCTGCGAATATATAAAAGTGAGCATGATCTTGTACAATATAATCTGTACATACTGGTAAAAAAAACCTTAATAAATGAAAGATTAATTTTATCTCTTGACAATTTTTAAAAGATTATGAATTTTCTGATGAAAAATTAAAAAATGATGTATTTTTTATTAAATGCAATTTAAAACAATTTCAATCGATCATTAAAATTACAAATGATCATAAATCAACATCTTTCTATTGGTGCATCGCAAATACAAATATTGTGATTAAAATACGATGCTTAAGGGAGAGAGAAAGAGAGAGAGAGAGCGAGAGCAAATGACTTTGTAGATAAAATTGGAGAACAATTCCCTGTTTTTTTCTCTTTCTTTCTCTCGTTTGTCAAGCTAGAGACATTGCTGACAAGCGTTTAACGTGCACGATTTCAATGCTATTTATACACGCGCGAACAGACGCTTCGTGTTCTAATTGTACGGCTTATTGATCTCTTGCCTCCTTCTCCTCTTTTTCGTCCATTCATCGCAAACAACCGTTAATCACGCGCAATGTCGTTGATCTTTCGATGAGAAATACGCCTATTAACTCATTGACATATCAATCCTTTTCCAACAAGAAGTGCGAGCGTCATAGATCGATTCCGCAGTTGCTTCTGGTGTTGCTTCTCGGTTACTTAATTTACTGCAATAATCTTGGTATTAATCTTGTAACGAAAATTCACGAAAATATACTGCCAAAAAAAGCTTATCGAAATTAATGATTATTTCGCAATAATAAATATAAATCATAATCATAATAAATTTACAGACATACATTATTGACAAAAAATGTTTTATACCTAATATTTTTATTAATAATATTATTAATTACATAAAACTCTTTAGCGCAATTTCATAATTATTATCAAAAATTATTTTTCCGTTTTTTATTCCGTTTTATTTCCAAATGAATATCCGAGTTTAGATACGATTTCTTCACGCTTAAGGACGTCAGGATCGGCCACGAGGGTGCAGCAGCAACAGGAGTCTTCAAGCCTCGAACGAGGCATGGAGACGCGATTGGAAAAGCGACAGATGTGCTTTCTGTCGCTGAGGGGAGGGAAGAGAAAAGACCTCCATCGAATGGCAAGGGGAAGACCGTACATCAGCGGTCTCATGTACTTTCGTTCCCACGCGACGCATTATGCGAGCGGGAATCTCCCTCCCGCTTATCGACAATCCGGATTCCTAACGTCATCTCTTTTTCCTCGTCGTTGAAATCGAAGGGTGGAGCGTTTCGCCAAAGGCGGATACGGTAACGCTCCCCAAACATCTCCACCTTGTCCATGCGATAAAAGCGTTCTTACTCTCTTCTGATTTTGCGACGTTTTTCGCGAGGAAAATTGTAGAATCGCGGACAATCGATTTTGTCAGAAATTAATTGACTCTAAAAATATTTTCTTTTTATTGCAATCTTCTAACTCATATTTTAAATTTCAACATTTAAATTTAAATTATTACGTAATCTATTATTACATAATTTTTGTATCATTTTGCAACTCTGTACCAGTAAAGTGCTCACTGATTTGAAATCTTGTCATTGCTTTCGTCAGTGACATTTTCACCGATTCAGTTTAAAAGAGCGCTGGAATCATTTATTCGGCGATATAAATCAGAATCTTTCTGAACGGTGCGTAGAAAAAAAGGACATTCTTGTTTTGAAAATGAAATATATTTATAAAATATATTTATAAAATATATTTAGTTTTAACATGGAAATCTTGAATTGAGATTATATTGCGTTAATTAAAGTAAAATATAATTGCTTGAATAATTGCTTACTTGAATAAAGCCATTTTATATAGTTCAATCAAGAAAAATATATTTTTATGATTTAAGATTTAATTTTCTTGAATGGAAAAGAAACAATGTTAGATAGAAAATAATATTTTTAAATCAAAGATTATAATTTTCTTAAAGTAAATAATTATATATAAGTTTTGACACTTATTTTTTTTCTGTTTGCGGGATCGCATCATCGATTTTTCTCGCTCGAGAAACGGCCGCCGATACTTATAAAGCGCCTTTGGGTTTCGTTACGGGTATAATGGCGCCCGCGTTTGTCAAAACACGTCAAAACACAATCCCGGCCACGAAATCATCCTGCCAGGATCCAGTCACGCCCCGCGATACATTCACGTCCCCGTGGATCATTTAGGCGGGCTTCAGGTATACTTCAGGTATATCGAGAGAAAGGGAGAATAGCGTCTCGTTCGCGCGTACGACCCTTGTTGCCGAGTCATTCGGGCAACATTATTCTCCTACGAATTCGGAAAGTAAAAATCCTGGCACTCGCTCCGTAATGATTCAGCTCGATGTCGACGAAGCTCACGTTGCTGTCCGCCTTCTACGATTAGATTCGTGACAACAGCAAGCGCGAGTTGTAAAGCCACGAGTGATCGAGAGATCAATCTTACACACAATCTGTGTATATAATGACGTCGCGACATTAGTTAGGATGTTGTCGACAAGATATGAATAATATCTGCCAATCCCTTTTCTCTTTAGAAAACTATTCTTAAAGATATTGAAACTGAAAAATATAAAGAGACAATACGAGTTCAATATTAACTAATAATTAAATGATAATTAAATTATATTAAATGTGAAAAACCCATCTCTTCAAACAGTTTATCGATATAAAAGAATAGCTCACTTTCAAAAAAATAAAACGGAAATTTAACGGATAAATTTCTTTTAACGCTAGATAATTGATCCCTCACAGAAAGTTCATTATTAACGCGCGCATAATTATACATATGGATTGATAACGAAGCATAATTCATTAAAATAACACACAGTGCGCTTAATACAGAGTAAAGAAATTTCCAACGCGGTGATTAATTGTCAATAATTAATTAACTCTCAGATAATGCAGGCGAAGCCGTATCAACTTGTCCAGATTGGCATCGTCGGGCGCATTAATATTAACAAGATTCATGAAACCGCAACTTCACGCGTCGGTCGAAAGGGGAGAGAAAGTTAAAGAGCGAACGCGAATTTACAGCGAACCGGTTGCGTGCTTAATTACGGGCGAACGCGTTAATGATAATCGCGCGGCGATCAGGCTGTAACTTATAAGTTTATAACGCTACTCGCGCAATTTGACGTAATCCCTCTCGCGTGGTTCCACGAATGTGGCCGCGCACCCCCGTCCGAGCCTCGCACACGCTCGGGGGATCTTGACTTTATTTATGCAACGACACTCGCGTGTCGTCTTATCGGCCGATTAGGAGGAGCGTTATTAGGTGACAGAGATCGCGTGGTTAAGCGGCATGGTAGCCGGGACCGCGGTAATGTTCAGCAGTCACGTTACCTTGTCGCGAGGAGGGAGGAAACCGGGAAAATTCACGAGGAATCAAGCGCTCGTTATTCACAGACGAGACGCGAAAAATCACGAATCCGTGATAAGGATGAGGGACGTCCCGACGAAAGGATGTCGTTTCAATTCCGAAACCAATCTCGCCGTCGCGTCGCTTTTCTTTCGGGAAGAATATCACGCAGTTGCACCGCTGTTCCTACTTAATTGCGCGTTTAATTACTCGGCTACCGTTGCACGCAGCTACCGGTCGAGAGGGTCCCTCCCTCGCGATAACTTACGCCGCGATCGCGAACGCGATAAGGATCCTTCGCTGCTCGAGTGTAAACGGCGAAAGAGGAGTAATCCCGCGATGTGATAAGCGCATTTTGCGCGTGTGTGTTTCCAGGAGATTCGGTTCTGCAATGTACGTACGCTTTTTAAGCTCGACAGAGACCCCACGAGAAAGATTAATTAGCGCGTTCGAGAAGCACGTGAACCGGAATGACAAACAAGACGTCTCTCGTGGAGTAATTTCAGATTCAACTACAAAGACCTCGATCAATCTGATCAAACAGAGATCAGAAGAAATAATGAGTGTATTACGATAAGAATTCTTATATAAGAACAACTAAGATTTATAGATGAATAATAAAAAAGATATCATATCTTCTCGTTTAATTTCGAATATTTTCGTATGAGATTTCTCAAAAAGGATTTATTTCATAAAGAAATATGCAACTTAAAATATAAGCTTTTATACAGGTACTTTTTTATTTATAGATGAATAATAAAAAAGATCGCCTTCTCGTTTAATTTTGAATATTCTTGTATGAGATTTCTAAAAAGGATTTATTAAAGAAATATGTAACTTAAAATATGATAAGCTTTTCTACAGGTATTTTCTATTTATGATCAGAGAGACGAATTAAGCTTCAAAACTTCATTCAAAACTTTAAAGAAATTTTCTGAAATGTGTGTATATAATAGTATAAAAATAATTTATCACGAATTTAGATGCTTTTTCCTTCTGGCAAAACCACATAGATTCTGTCTGGCTATTCTATTCGGCACCGAATGGATTACAACACGAGACTCGTTCATGGTGTCACAACACGACCAAAGAGGTGCGAAAGACGACGGCAAAAATGACGCGAAAGGAACGAAAGGCGACGGCATGATCAATATGCTAACGAGCCATGCCGGTGCATTATGTGCATACATACACATACATCCACCTAACACATACATTGCTACGCGTGTTAACATTTAATACTTCCGCGAGCAACCTCAGCGATGAGAAAAGTGACCACGTTTTATCACCACTTTTTTCATCCTTTTTGGCATAATAAGGCTCAAGTGCGCCTTGATTAGAAGAGGCAAAAGTCCGCGAAATAGCTTGCCGATGGTTTCTATGCCGCGACTCTTAACCATTGTGGTTACATTAGTGTAATAGCGCGACTAATTGATTTTAATTCGACACTCGTCGGAAGATTTGTATAAAACGAGCGACGAGCTCCGACGGGGCTTCGCAGAAGCCATAAGATTTTTACCGTTGCAACTTCTTTCTGCAAGAATTATTACCTTGTCAGAAATTTCATAATTTTATTTTATATTTTAATATTTTATATTTTAGAGATTTTATATTTTAATATTTTATTTTTAATATTTTTAATATTTTATACTTATAAACTATATTCTTCTATTCTATATATATTTTATACAAATTTTTATCCAATTGTTTCTTTTAAATTTGCAAGAAATTGCAAATAACAAATGATAACATTTATCGCAATTTGTGGTCGTTGTAATTAAATTGTACAGGCTTATTGAAATTTTCTCATAATTAATGATTGTAATACAGACGGTAGGATCGAGTGAAAAAAAGGCACATTTTTCAGAAGATAATTATATCAGATACGCTCGACATGTTCGTATAATTAAGCAACGTAATTCAAACGTCTGCAGACACATGGCTCGTCTCTTTTTACAGCCGGCAATTTCGCCAATTTCTCACATAAGCCTTAAACGTCGCAATATCTTATAATGTACAACGTACTCTCCGACCACATACCGGTGATCGGAATCTGTACACTTGTGTTCAGCTCCGGACTAAGACGGTCAGGATTCTCCGCGAGCCACTAATAAAAGGACATCTGTCTCGCGAAGTCCATTCGTCGCGCTAAACGTCGCAAATGGCACGCGTTCCATCTGCCAACAATGAGATGATGGATGCGTCCCGGTAGAATAGCGCTTTAAGCGCATAAAAATGTTACACGGATGTATCAGCAGCATCTCTAATGTTGCTACCTGAGAGGATTTATTCAATTGCCACGTTTATATTTTTATTTGTTTCATAAAAGAATACATATATTCTTCATAAATTGATTATGGGGTATATAATGCTTTTTTACTCTGTTTATAAACAAAGTCATAATGATATCTTTAATTACATTAATAAATATTATAATAATATAATAATAATAATAATTAATATATATTATATAATATATTATATATATTATATAATATATATTAATTATATATATTATATATATTATTTGGTAATTATTATATAAAGTTAAATTATAATGGAAAAGCATAGAATAAAATATTGCGAAAAATATATCGCAAGAAGGTTACACGAAAAAATACATGCGAAATATTACATCTAATTGTTCTTACAAGTTTCTCAACAGGAGATTAAACTGCCTGCGCGTGTCTGAAATCGCACTGTCATTACGGCATGCAAATTTTTCGTCGTTAAGCGACTCGCACGAATTATAATATGAGAAAATTGCGCGCGAACCAACGAGTATGGCGACGAAATTCACGCGTGTGTCGCCATGTGCGGGGAGAGGTGTGAGTATGTGTACACATGGGGAAATTTGATTTTGTTGTCGGCTTACAATACTCAATTATCCCGTAGATGAACCGAGACGCAACATCTGCCGTGGAGAATCCGCCCCATCTTCCCCAGACTCGCCCTCCACCGCTAACTGCTTGTTTCTCCCTTAAGGGAGGGAGGCGAGGCGAATTCATGGACACATTAAGTTCAGGGCACAAAATGACGGTGTATTCATTATCGGAGACGAGGTTGTACCTCCATTACATGTATTTGCGGTGAAATTTCGGAGTATTACAATTTCGTTACTCGCATTCGCGCATCCGATTGTTAATCAAGTGTCTATTTAACCCTTTCGTATCCCTCGGGAACATATATGTTTCACCTACAAAAAAAATCATAATTTTTAAACAAATAATCCTATCGATTTTTATCTCGGCTTGTTTTAAAGAAGAAGGTTCGAGTACATATAAAAAAATCACGCATTTTGAAATGTAATGTTTACAATAAAACATAATTATCTAAATTTTGCGAAAAATCAAACTTTTAGAGAATGAAGATTAATCGAAAAATTATAGAATTATGCCCTAATTATAAATTTAAAGTTTTATTTAACCGTGATTACAACTTTATTATGATAAATATTATATTTTATATGTGTAATCAAAGTAAACGACGCGTGCGACGGGCATCCAAGTCTCGCGGCAGATGCACGGCTTGCAAAAAAAGTGTATAACGTTACGAATCGAACGTTTGTGTGTATGTATATTCAGGAAAAAACTATATTTAAAAAATATATATTTAAAATAAATTAATATATATTTAAAAAAATAAAATTTAAGGTCATATTTTAAATATATTGCTATTTAAGTTTTTCATAGTCGCCATCTTAAATCTGCCATTTAAATTTAAATTTAAAAATCTAAAAACCTATAAAACTGTCTTTATATGAAACACATCTCTTTTGCAAAAGTAGAAGGTACGAAAGGATTAACGGAATTTGCGATGCACGGTTAAAGCATATCGTCGGTTTTACGACAGCAAAAGAGAATCGATCTCATCATTCGAAATGATCAGTAACACCGAATATAATATATAATAAATTTTTTATTATTCCGCTCCTCTTCATTTATACTTTACACATTTTTACGATATTAATTTTTTATTTATTTATCTCATTGATTTTATTTTTCGATAACAAAAGTTATCTCTCGATAGAAAAAGCGATAAATATACATTTATATGATATATATTTTCCCTTCTCTTTCTCTTATTTAATCCCCACCAAATTCTCTTTAGTTAATAATTGGTACGGGGAACAAAAAGAAAGTGGACGAGAAGGCGGCACGAAGGAAGCATCTCGGCGATTTAGCCGTCGAAGTGATACGTCTATGTTTAAGAAACGATTATGCGTGGGCAAGTGAGAGAAGGAAGAAGGGGGGGGGGGGAGAAAGAGAGGCTGCTAAGGCCGAGAGCGTATGCCTAACGCAGTAAGGCGCCATGGAAGTGTTGATCCCATAACAAACTCAATCCAGCCGCGTGCGTAAAAGCTTCATTTAACCGGCGCTGCTCTCGACGGATAGCAGCATCTCGTTGCATCGCCGCGGCCAGCGTGTCGGTGTCGGCTCGTCAAGGTGGTGCTGGTAGAATCTTTCTCGTCCGGGTGATCAGATTTGATGGACCGATCGTTACGGGGATATAATTACTTGACGAGAGCCGAAGGCTTCCTCGCGCACACACATGCGCTCCGGTCAATATAAACACACGCACACATTTATGTACATCCCCATTATAACAGTATCTCTGAGTACACGTGCATTATTATTTTGCAGATGTATTTTTATAATAGTCAAATACATGCATATGTTTGTCTACAAAATTGGATGTTAATTCGACTAGGTTGAACTTCGTTAATTAATTTAATTAATCATAATCTATATATAATAAATTTATTTGGGGGGTTCTAACAATTTAACTTTGATTCCAACAAAATTTCTTCGATATGTCATATTGTAATTATAACATGATAAAATATATTAAATAATTAGAATTTTTTATTTTGATCAAGAAAAATTATAAAAAATGATTATTTTCTTTCCTGTATTCGGAAAAAATTATTTTTTAATTATGTTATTGTGCATAGAAACGTAACTCGTAATTACATAAGGAGTGCAAACGCATACACTCAACACACATGTATTAACGCATATGCGTGCCACGTAGACTGGACGATCTCTCGGGCCCACAACCGGCTCCTCGCCCTTCCAGAAGCCCCCCTCCTTCCTTCGTTCTCGCCGACCTTACGCGTACACCTCCTGCTCCCCTTCTGCCATCCTCTTTTTATCCGGTCTCCCAGTACATGGGAGGAAACATGGCCGCATGCCTCCTCACATGGGCCAAACAATGGCGGATACACGGGCCCCAGTCCGTTATTTGCCCGCTCGATGAAGTAGAGCTCCGACTACACAATGCTTTAAGTTCTTTTTTTTCTATACCCGCCTTCTTTCTCGTTTTCACATTTTCTCTCTTTATTGACCCCCTTTTCGTTGACTCGTTGCCCTATACCATCTGTTTCTGAATTCCAATGCTTGGCTATGAATTTTTAAACATTTAACATTCTTCAATTGAACGGAATCAATTATGTGCGATTGTTTATCATTAATTTTCAAGATAAGAGAATTATTGTGTCAACAATGCATATTATAATTTTTTCTATTCTTGTACATTATTATTTAACAAAAAAGTGATAGAGATATTTAATATATTTATATTTTAATTTATATTTTAGCTCATATAAGAATGTATGCGTACTTATAAAAAGTATTTATTTAATTATTATAAACATATCTTTAGCTAAAAAATATTTAATTATTTAAATATTTGTCTTATTTATTCCATATTTATTTGAAAATTGTTTATGATATTAATATTTTATTTTCATGCTTTTTATCATCACTAATTAATGTGTATTAATTTATTTAAAATGCTTCGATATACATTAAATAAATGATGTTTTTATACAAATTGCAATCCACTTTCCCAGGTAAAAAAATTCTAGTAAACCGTTATACGATTTTCGAAGATGATCAGTAATTTATCCCCAGTTTGCATCAGATAATGGCGGACGGCAGGATCTAGTCTCTGTCTACCAACTCGTGTTTCGATGAAGTAGAACTCGAGTCGCATAATGTGGCGAACCGTCCTTCTTCTCTTCTCTCCTTTTCTTTTATTCCTGGTCTTCTGTATTCGCGGGGTGCCGACTATCTTGGAGAACTCAGACTCGCACAGAGTTAAGTGAGACGTGGGTAACTTATATAAGAAACGAGAAATCATAGCAGAGCCCAAAGAGAGAAATTATGTCACGCGTTCTCTCTCGTTGAAAAAAGTATAAATTCATCGCACGCATGTATAAAATTTTTAATACGTATCTCTGATTTTTTTCTCCAATTTACTTTCTTTTAACATAATACATGATTTTATATGATATAATATTTATAATGCCACATCTTTTATTGCTGTAAATTTGAGAGGATTTAGAATTTTATTTAATATCATTAATTTTTTGCTATTTTATCAATATATATTAAAA